TTGGTCCTGAGGGGTTTATCTGTCCTGGATTCCCTGTGTTTCCAGCTCTTATCTGTACCAGTGCACATCCTCTGTCTAGCCGGATTTGTAGGGTAGAATTGGGGTCATGATAGTGGGGTGGGGGGGTGGGGAGAAGCATTAAAGAACTAGAGGAAAGTTGCATGTTTCATTGGTGCCGTACTGCACCCTGACTGGCTCGTCTCTTCCTTGTGACCCTTCTGTAAGGAGCTGTCCAATTGTCTACAGATGGGCTTTGGGTCTCCACTCCGCACTCCCCCTTATTCACATCAATATGATTTTTCGTTCTGGGTCTTTGATGCCTGATACCTGATCCCATCGACACCACATGATCACACAGGCTGGTGTGCTTCTTCCACGTGGGCTTTGCTGCTTCTCAGCTCGATGGGACTTCAGGAATTCAGGCGTGTAGAATGAGTAGCGAGGCCACTGTGAGTGGTGTAGAGAGCTGCTTATTGAGCTGCAACCCATAGGTTGAAATCACCAGGGGCTCCACAGAAGCATGAGCTTTCTCCTCCCGTAAAACGTGACAGTCTCGGAAACCCACAGGGCCCGTTCTGCGCTGCCCTGTAGGGTCGCTGTGAGTCAGAAGGCACATCGCAGTGAGGGTGGTGTGGTTTTAGAGAGCGTGTCGCACACGGGATCGCTAGCATCGTGGTTACACGTTGTGCTGCGATCTGCGTGGTCCAAAGTTTGGAACCACCAGCAGCTCCGCAGGACAAAGGCTGGGTCTGCTAGTCCCGTCAGCAGTGACCGTCCTGGAAACCTGCAGGCCAGTCGCTACGAGTCAGAGGTGGCCTGGCTGGTAGTGAGCACACAGGAGGTGTTCCTTAAAGGACAGATGTTGTTGCTCGGACTCAGAACCCAAAATGGAACAGAGCTTAACTCCCAATAGTGCAAACTGATTGCAGCACCTTACTGGCTGTGTCATCTTGGCCAAGTTCAGTAGCTCAGAGCCTCCCTTTCCCCATCTTTAAAATAGGAGCCATAACTAAAGGTACCTCACAGGACTGCTAAATGAAGGCATGCATGGGATTTGCTTGGCACCCTGCCAGGCATCAGGAGCCCCAGTGGTACGGTGGGCTATACTTTGGGCAGCTAACCTCAAGATCAGCAGTTTGAATCCACCCGCAGGAGGAAGATGAGGCTTTGTGCTCCCTTCAAGATTTAACAGCCTTAGAAACTGAAAGGGGCAATGCAGCCCTATCCTAGCGGGTTGTGTCCGCTGGGCCCTGAGTAGGTACTTAGTAAATTAGCATGTTTTTACTGATAGTTACTGGCACCCAGAATTGATGGTAAGTGTTTGGGGTCAAAACCACAAGAAGAGGAAGTAAATCCTGGGGCTGTTTTCATGCAGATGCTGGAGGAGAAAGGACTTTCAACCAACCTCCTCTCTCTGTCTGTCTGTCTCTTTCCTTCTCTCTCTGATTTGTCTCTCGCTCCCTGTCTCTGTCTGACTTTGCTCTTTTCTCTGTACCTCTCATCTCCATCTCTCTCTGCCTCGGTTTCTTTCTGGCAACGATGTGCTAGCAGCAGCTAGCACTGGCTCCAGGGAGCTGATTCTGTGCCTTTCTTCCCAACCAACCCAGTGTTCGATGACGTCACTTCCGTAGCTTGAAATCAACCATGGTGGGAATACTGACACCACAGAAACCAGCAAATACAGTAATACATGTCAGGCTGTATGTTTCATTCTCTCTTTCTGTGAGCTGGTTTACCAGCGCCTTATTTTATTTGCCGTTCTCTTTGCCTCTCTTTCTGCCTCTCTGTGCTTTGGTTAGCCCTCTCAATCCCTTTTGCTTTGTTTTTGTGGATCTTTCCGTGCCTCTCTCTTTACAAAGCTGCAGGAGCGGTGGGGCCTGGAGAGTAATTGCTCCAGGCCGTGTAGACGCCGGACATTCACACCCTCCCCCCACATCCCCAACCCAGACCCCTTCAGCATGGCTGGTCTACTGAGAGCCAGCCAGTCAGTGCTCCTGGGCCAACCAGCCTGGCTGGCAATGGGCCACCCTGAAAGCCGCCCCAGCTGCCTGCTGCCTGCCTCTCGCACTTCCTCAGCCCTCAGAGCTCTGTGCTTTCTTCTCAGGGTTGGTGAAACTCTGACTTCCCCCCAGTTCCAGGCACTTAGAATTCAGGGTTCCCCTTGGACTGACAGAGAAGCATATGGCAATGAGTACTTGAGTCAATGACATTCCTAAGGGGCAGGGTGGTGGTGAGGAGCACCCTGGGTGTCACTGTCAAAGAGGGTGAACCAAAATGACTGACTATGGAATTTTTGTGTGGTTATTTCAGCAGAAATGAATTACTTTTTATAAAAAAGATCCCTGTCATTAATTATAAATGCAAAACCATTTCTCATAAGCCCCAGTTCCTATATATCAATATACTTACAGGACTCAAACTCTCTGCTAATTTACTTTTTAAGCCTTCTAGTATGCGCTAGGAGCTCTAGTGATGTAGTGGTTATGCAGTGGGCAGTGATCCCCAAGGTCAGCAGTTCAAAACCACCAGCCCCTGGGAGGGAGAAAGACAGGGCTTTCTACCCTCATAAAGAGTTCACAGTCTCAGAAACTCACAGAGGCAGTTCTACCCTGTCCTATAGGGTTGCCGTGAGCTGGCATTTACTGAATGAGTGAGTTTGAATATGCGCTGGTCAGAGCTGTCATTCTTACACACTTGCAAGGATCCTTCAGATCATGGGCCTCGTCTGTATGCGCAGCAACCGCTGTTGCTCTTGTTGCTGCTGGACTCCGTGGAGGGGGAGGGGAAGGGGAGGGGGAGGGCTGACACCCGGAGTTACTGGCGCGGGGTGACACCGGCTCTAGTGACATCACTGACGTGAAAAGCGATGGAAGTGGCAACATGGTATCTGTGTGTACAGGGGCTGTACACATCTATGTTCTATGGAGGGGATCTCTGTATCTAGGAGTCACAAGAATGCCAGTGACTCTGGGTGTCCGTGACAGGCAGTGGAGAGAAGGGGTTGACAGCTCAGACTCAGACCCTCTGGGGGACCTTGGGCAGGTTTGGACACTCCCTGTGTCCCCTTCCTGCATACTAACCTCAAAGGGTTGGTGTGCAAATAAAACGCACATTGGATGTCACATAGACGCCTGGCACAACGTTGGTGCTATGGCTTCTGTATCTGCTATGCTTACAGAGAGGCTGTTTGCCTGTGCACGTATCTGTGTGCAGATGGATGCATGAATGCATGAATGTGTGTGCGTGTGCGTGTGTGTTGTGTGTGTGTGTAGGGGCGGGTACCAGGAGAGATCAGTCCCCGGAGAAGGGCGTCACTTTTGGTAAAGAAGCAGGGAAAAGAGGAAGACCCTCAATGAGATGACTGGACCCATGGCTGCAGCTGTGGGCTCAAACATGAGAACAGTGGTGAGGACGGTGCCGGACCGGGCAGTGTGTCCTTCTGTTGGGCATCGGGTCGATGGATGGCACCAGACACCCAGAAGATGCAGGTGTCTGTGAATCTGCACCGAGGAACTCACGTCTCTGCATGGGAGGGGCTGTGTCTCCGGAGTGTGCTGGAAGGGTGTGTGAGACCTGTCAGGAGGGAGGCTGCACCATTTGGAGACCGCCTTGATCACACTCGCCTTGATCGTCTCAGCTCCATCTCTCCTCTCCTCAGTCTCTGAGTTCCCTTCAGCAGGGGCTCCAAGAGCCCCCTGCCCCACCTCCGTGCTCTCACCACCAGTAGCCTGGGGCATGGCAGACTGCGACTTCCGCTCTTAACCCCTAGGTGGAAGAACTTGGGGGGTGGGGGGAGACCTCAGCCTTGGCCTGGTGAGCAAAGGCTATTTTCGGTCAAGCCTCTTCCCACAGCTCACCTCACAGTTTACCACATGGGGGAGGTCACCGCCTATCCCCCCAGCCCCTGGGGACATACCCTGAAGAAGAGTTTCACTGAAGGGGGAGAGGGGTTGGCAGCCTAGGGTGGAGGCCGGGCTCGGGTGGGACAGATCCACTGGCCAGACACTTTGACCTGGTGCACCAAGGAAGGTTTCCTGGGCTCTAGAGGTAAGTGATTCTGGGTAAGGGGGGACAGAAAAGAGGAAGATTCCACAAAGACGCCTGGTCTCCAGGGCCCCGGAGCTCTCCGGGGAAATCAAGGTTCACTAGGTCAACCCCGCCCCACAACTGTCCGTTTCCCTCATATCTTAGGAAACAAGCCCTCTCTCCCGCCGCCGGTTCCTCTGTGGGTGTTGCAATGGCGGTTTCTGACAGAGGGTGGGGAGCCTTGCTCAATGACCTGTATGCACTGTCGCGCGAAGGAAGCAGCCATTAGGAACGGCTTGGCTTATTTGGAGGTCCCCCCTGGGGACCCCGATGGCCCCAGCTCCTGGCCTGGGCCTTCCTCTGATGTGGGGACAGAAGCGGTGCACTTTCTGGAGGGTAGGTGCGCACCTCTACCTGTCACCTAGCATGATACCGAGGCTGCCTGCCAGGGCTGGGGCTGGGGGTGCGGTGGGGTGGGAGGGGGGCTTACTCAGCCTGGGCTGGGAGCCACGGCAGCGTCCAGGGAGGGGCTGGGTTAGGAGACAATGACCATGCTGAGCATGTTTGGCCAGAAATCCAATTAGTGCGATGGGTAAATACAAAACATGGGCTTCTGAGCATGCCCAAGAGGCGTCTGTGTGTGTGTGAGCCTGGGGTGGTGCAAGAGTGAGTTTGTGTTGGTGTGTGATGGTGTATGAAGCGTATGGCCTGTGTGTGTGTGTGTGTGTGTACACAAGCAACTGGGCCGGTGTGTCGGGTGGCCGGCAGTGTGAGAGGGTTGGTGTGGGTGGCGTCTCTTGCAGGAGGGTGAAGGCCTGAGTGTGCCAGGGATGGTGGGAAGGAAAATCAAGTGGGGAGTCGTGTTGGGGCTGAGCCCAGGCCCTCTGGCTTCCTGAGGTGGCGGCGGCTGGGCAGCTGGCTTGCAGGAACGTTGGCAGGGCCTTCAACTGCATCCCCTTCTGCCTCGCCCCCAGGTCTCAGGCTCCCCCCGGAGACCATGCCACAGCCCCGCTGACCCACGAGTAGGGGCCTGAGGGTGAGTGGAGAAACTGAAAGCGGAGGACTTTCAGGGTCAGGAAAGTGGGTGGGGGTGGCCTTCCTGGTCCCCACTGTTCCTCACAGCCCCCTCCTTCTACACAGGCCTGTTGCTAGGTAACAGATGGGGGGGGGGGCCAGAATGAGGCAGCTTGAGAGGCCGGAGGCTGGACCCACATGGGAAATGGCCTTGATCCCCTTCTGCAGGGAATCTCCAAGTGCAGGCACATAGCTCTTGAACACACACACACACACACAGATGCAAATACCCACTCCCGCAGATCTGCACACACAGTGATACAAACACACACACACACACACACACACACACACGCCGAGGTGCCTGTACATCCACACGCCCACAGAAGTACACGCAGACCCCTGCACAGGCGCTCACGGCCACACACACATGGCTACAGAGTCTCATGCCCACAAGCAAACTTGCACACACTTAAAGACATACCTGCAGGAGTCACAGACACACAGCAGACAGAACATCTGACTCAGCACAGCGACAAACAGCCCACTAGCGAGCTCCCAGCACACGCGGGCAGCCTGCTATGTACGCGTGTGTATGAGCGGTGTGCCCGGCAATGAGGCATGCCCCCATTCTGTAACAGAGTGCCTGGGATGGGCTGTGTGTTCTGCAAGAAAGTGGAGCCGGAGGCCAAGGAGGACACTGGCCTGGACGGAGCCTTCAGGGACTACGGGGCTGCGGAGCGCTATGGCCCTGACCCCACTCAGGCCCAGCCTGTGTCCTCTTTTGCCCACACCCCCAATCTGAACAACTTCCCGCCTACGCCCACCTGCCCAGCCTTCTTGGATGGCAGCACCATCAGGGGCATGTCAGGTGAGTCCCTGTGGGCTGAGGTGGGCCGGCCAGCAGGGGGCTGCATAGGATTGAGGGCAGGCTGCCTGAACCCTGGGAGGAACTCGGGGAGGGGTGGCTGGACTTTTGTCCTTAGGAGGCTTCGGGAAGATGTGGGAGAGGCCGCCCAGCTTTCAGGAACACACAGTCAGTCAGCAGGTCTGTTCAGCCAGCCCTGGCCCTGAAGAACCTCCGTCTGAGCTGGGGGAGAAAGCTCAGTTCTCAGGGGCCTCCTGTCCGTCAGAGAGGAGGGCTCAGGTGACAGAAACGAGTCATAAGGAGGATCCTCTTGGGGGCCAACTCCTAGGTGAAGTCTTCCTGGAGGGGAAGAAGAGGGCAATCTGGGGTCCTCAGGGTGGGAGGCGTAGGCTGGGTTCCATGTGTCTTAAATCCAAGGTGGGGGGTCAAGCTGGGAAGCCCCAGTCAAGCAGTCTACTCAACTTGATTCTCAAGGGCACCACAGCCATGGGGTAGGGGTGAGGCCCAGCCCCTCACTCAGGATAAGGACTGGAGGGAGCTCTCTGCCCTGTGCCCTATCCTGCTGAGCGAACCTGACTCTGACAGGGACTGGGGTGACCCTGTTCATCGCCCTGTATGACTATGAGGCCCGGACAGAGGACGACCTCACCTTCACGAAGGGCGAGAAGTTCCACATCCTGAACAACCTGTAAGTAACCAGGCCACCAGCTCGGTACGCCGCCGGGCTGCGAGCCAGACCGGTAGAGGAAGCCCACCCGGTCCCTGTTCTCAGGAAAGTCGGGGAAGCAGACACACACACACACACAGTCATATTTGGTAATCGGGTGACGGTTACCAAATGCGGAAAGCATGAGGGAGTGTGGGCGCAGAGAGAGGCCCAACATGGTCCCCAGGGTGGGAATGGTCAGGGCAGGTTTCTGAGAGACCTGGAAGGAGGAGGTTAGAAAACAGGAGTGAGACAGAATGAGGCTGAATCCTGGCTTCTCGGCACTGCCGTGGCCCCGTCTCAGCAACCAGAAGTGTGAGGTGCAGAAAGAACAGTAGAGGCCAGAAGTGGGGAGGAGCAGGGTCTCAGGGCTTGTGTCAGGCTATGCTGAGGTATCCGGATCTTCTGAGAAGGAAATGTGAAGCCGGGGGAGGCTTTTTAGGGGGGAAGTGACCGTTGTTGGCTCTGTGCTACGATTTCTGACTCCCAGCTCACTGGAGGAGACGGGAGGAAGTCAGGAGGCCCAGATGTCCCCAAGCAGCTCCCTTCTGCAGGCAGACACCTCCCTGGGCAGCTCAGTAGCTGTGGGCAAAGTAGAGAAAAGCTCCTGGGTCCATGGTGAGGGTTGGCAAGGTGAGTGGCTGTCAGCCCCACACCGGGCTTGGGCCTGGGATTTCCCACTGACCCCCTCCTTCTGACCTGCAGTGAAGGTGACTGGTGGGAGGCTCGGTCCCTCAGCTCCGGACACACTGGCTACATTCCCAGCAATTACGTGGCTCCTGTGGACTCGATCCAGTCTGAAGAGTGAGTGGGGATGGGAGGGAGGCCAGACCTGGGACAGAACCCTGCAGTCTGGGCTCCAAGGCTGCCTGTCAGAGCCCCGCTCTCCTTCCTCAAAGATCATTGTGAGAGAGCAAAAGAAGATAACCACGAGATTACTAGTAACAGAGAAGGCCTGGCCTGTATGATATTTTAGGCACAGTTTAAAACACTTCCCCAGGTATTCACCAAGTCACAACATGTCTTGCAAAAAGGGAAACCGAGGCACAGAGACATGAAATGGCCTGCCCAAGTTCATCTAGGCTGGAAGCAGGTGGAGCTGGTATCAGAACCCAGCCAGTCGGACTGCATTTGCTGAAAAACAAAAAGCAAAGCCCACTGCCACCCGGTTGATTCCAACTCAGAAGACCCCATGGGACAGGGTGGAGCTGCTCCGCAGGGTTTCTGAGGCTGTAAAGCTTTATGGGAGTAGGAAACCTCATCTTGCTCCTGATGAACGGCTGGTGGAGTTGAACTACTGGCCTTGTGGTTGGCAGCCAAACAAGTCACCCACTGCACCACCAAGGCTCCTTATTTGCTAACCCCACTAAAAACTGACTACCGGGCAGGAAAAAGTCAAGGAGGCTGTCTACCCCTGTAAAGAGTTACACTCTCAGGAACCCCCCAGGGCCATTCTACTCTGTCCTATAGATTCGCCATGAGTCAAAACGACTCGATGGCAGTGCGATACAGTTGCTTCTGATTCATAGCGACCTCAACATTCCTAAACAGAATATACCCTGCCCCTCCGCAATAACAGTGGTGTGTGCGCCACAAAGGAGTGAGCATCTCTTAGAATAAATTATCTTACGGAGGCAGGGGATTGCCCTTCAGGGAGCCCTTTCCTAAATTAGAGGTATCACAACAGGTGCTTTACCTACATTGGGTCACTGAAAGTTCGCCGTCACACGATTGACATTCTTCTTGACCCATCTTACAGACGCAGAACGGGGGCTCGGAAAAGCTTTTTGATTTCTCTTCGCGTGTGCAGACATAGATGGGGGGAGGGGGCTGGGGACATTGCCGAGCAGGCCAGGATGCAGTCGCTGCTTTGCTATCGGGCTAGGGGGCACAAGGGGAAATCGAGGGTGACTCCAAGTCTTCTTGAGTGACCAGTGGGCAATGGTGCCATCATTTACTAAGGTGGAGGACACAAAAGCAGGTCCAGGTTTGAGGGCAAATCCTGAGTTTTGGGGCCCGGGGCCTTGTTGGCCTAAGGCTCCAGGGGAAGAACACTCAAATAGAGGAGGCTGCCAGTGGTTAGACTATACTTTGCACAAAGGGTGCCCAGCCATGCCAAGTCATGCCCCTGAACCAGCCGCAAGGAAGGGACATCACCTTCAGATGGGCACTAAGCCCCTTCACATGTTTAACGTGGCCCTGAAGAGAGAGTTCGAATTCATCAGAGGTTCTCATTACAGCTGCTCAGGGGGTGCAGGAGAATGCAGAAGAGATTAGGCCGAAGGCCCAACTTGGGAGAAAGCGGCCCTTGAAGAAGCCAGGGGGGAGGAGGAGGTAAAATCAGGCGAGGCTGAGTCAGAACTGCCAAGACGCTGGAGGGGAAGTTCTGAGGAATGAGAGAGGGAGTGTCAGAGGCTGCTGGCCACTGGATTTGGCAATGAGGGTGACCTTAGTGAGATATTGCCTCCATGCGGAGTGGGGGTGAGGGTAAGGGGGAGAGTGGGAGGTGAGGAAGTAGAGACCCAAGTGTGAAGGGAAGGTGTGAGATGAAGCTGGCTGTGGGTGGCAAGGTCAGGTTCAAAGCCGTTTTCTTTGGAAAGAAAGGGATGTGGGCCACTCTTGAGACTGGTGGGATGGAGAGGCTGTCGATGGGGGCTGCTGGGTGGGTGGGGGGGTCCTGGAGCGGAGGGAAGTGAGCAGAGCTAGAGCTGGGTGACATGGGACGCCTTTGCCTGGGAGGCCGAGAGGAAAGGAGGGGTGACAATGCTGAGGTAGGGGTGGTTTCTGGGAGTTCCTGCTTGGGTCCACATCTTGGGAGCAGGGTCCCAAAGCTCTGAGAGGTGCGCAGTATTGTGGTGAAAACTTCCTCCGTAAGAGATGCGGGGCCCAGGAAACCATAGGCGGCCGTTCTACGCTGGTTTCAGAGTGGGAACTGACTGGGCAGCAGGGCAGTTTCCATTTCCTTACTGGCAGATAGTAATAACACCTAAATAAACAGACACATATTTGAGAAAAGCCCCCCCCCAAGAAGAGCTGCTATTGTTATGTTAATTGCTCAGTGAGCTGTTCAAAAGGTAGGGACAGGGCTGGAGGCTTTGAAAAGCATCATGGACCACCAGCCTACACAACAAGCCCATCCTGCCTGCTCTCCCGGACATCTCACTTCCCATGCCTCCCCTTGTGGAAGGACCATCCCAGAGTTTACCAAGCCGGTCACTTCCCTTCATGTGGGGACCGACCAGTGACAGTTTCGTGACCAAATGGCATCTTGAGTTGTCTCCGGTGCCTACGGTCACTTCTTCGACTCCCCCAGGGAACTCGAGCCATCAGCGTAGAAGCTCCGGACAACCCCAGAAAGCATTCCCCAGACAAAGCAGGAGTGCTTGAGGCTTGAGGATGAAGTTGAGATTTAGGGCATCACCCCACATGGAGGGTGTGGAGGGAGGAAGGGTCCCAGTCAGAGGGTGGGGGAGGGGAGGGCCGGGAGGGGGCTGCTCAGGAGGCAGAAGAGGACCGTGGGAATGGGGTGGAGGAGGGGACTGAGTGATTGCCGGGTGGCTGGAAAACTGTGAGAGTGGGCGGCAGGGGGCTTTAGGTAGAGAGCTGCTCAGCCTGCCCTGTGGGCTTGTCACTTCCCCTCTGAGCCGCAAGTTGCTCCTTTCTAAAATGGGCGCGTAGAGCAGCCAAAGTGAGATGGACCAAGGGCCCATAGCATCCTGTTATGGCCACTCAGTGACGGAGGTGTTAGTCATTCCAACACGAGACCAGCCCAGAGCGTATCGAGAAGACAAACCTTCTGGGCCCCAACCTATACTAGGCCTTGTATGCTTTTATTTTCCAACTCTATGGGAGGCAGGCACATGAACCCCATTTTACAGAAAAGGAAATTAAGACTTGGCTTGTGAGGTGACTTTGCCCAGAGAAGCAGGTGGCGGGTGAATGGGCAGCTCTGATTCTGGCCGGTTCTGCCCAACAGGTGGTACTTTGGAAAGATTGGGCGGAAGGATGCAGAGAGGCAGCTGCTGTCTCAGGGCAACCTGCGGGGGGCCTTTCTCATTCGGGAGAGCGAGACCACCAAAGGTGGGTCCGGTGTTGGCGGTGGGGGGCAGAAGAAGTCCCAGAGTAATGGGGCGGGGCTAGATCCACTGGGTGGGGCCAAGACTGGGACTGCATTAGCCGAATGGACCCGTGGGCCTGCCTCTGGAGCCTTTGGAGCCCCTTCCAGCTCCCAGACTGGGAGAGAAGGGAAACAGGCCCTAAGGGGGGCCCTCCCCACAGGCGCCTACTCCTTGTCCATCCGGGATTGGGACCAGACCAAAGGCGATCACGTGAAACATTACAAGATCCGAAAGCTGGACACTGGTGGCTACTACATCACCACGCGGGCCCAGTTCGACTCGGTGCAGATGCTGGTGCAGCACTACATGGGTGAGGGCCGGCCCTTGGGCTGGTGGGCGCTTCAGACCCCTGAGCTAGCCTGCTGGTGTGAGGTCCAGATGGGGAAACTGAGGCCCAGAGAAGGAAAGATTCTCTTAAAACAGCAGGGGCTACTAGGACTAGAATCCCCAGCGTCTCACCTGCTCTGTGGGATTCAAGAAAACAGGCACCTAAGGCCAGATGGCAACTCCTAACTTCCTCTCGGGGAGCTCCAGGCCGGGATGGGTGGAAGCTTCACTTTGCCGAACATTGAAGCTGCAGGCACATCTCAGAAATGGCCTCTGTCCTCAGGTCAGAACAGCCAACAGTAACCCAAAAATCAGAACCAGACTGACTGCCATCGTGTCAGTGCCAACTCATGGCGACCCCTATAGGGCAGGGGAGAACTGCCCCTGTGGGTTTCCGAGATGAGAACTCTTTATGGGAGTAGAAAGCCTCATCTTTCTCCTGCAGAGCGGCTGGTGGTTTTGAGCTGCTGACTGCTAGGCCACTGGGGCACCTTGGTTAGAACACTAGACACTATAAATGACAATAACAGAATAAAACCCCGCACGGAGCACTTTCTATGTGTCAGGCCCTGTTCTAAGCTCATTGCATGAAGCTGCCCCTGTGAGTCACCTAGAGACTACGAAATTTGTTCAGGACACCCAGGTCATAGGTCGTGAAGCCTCTGCTACTGTGGTGCTAGTGCAGAGAAGAGGGGCAGCCAGCCTGTGCCAGAGCCTGCCAGCATCACACGCCCCACCCAGGCCGGAGGTCAGGATGGGAAGCACCTGTACCCACCCCTGGTCAGGTGGTGACCGAGGATGGTGAACAATTCTGGCCGTTGGCAGGATGAGAGTCCTTTCAGAGGGAGGCTGTGGCTACTGTCCCAGCAAGAGGTGAGGGTGAATCGGGGCTGTGGAGTGAGGAGAAGCAGGCCGTTCCAAAGCTGGATGCCCAAACCAACTGCCACTGAGTCAGGGAGGCAGAGTAGGCCTAATGTCTGCAGGCAGGGTGACGGAGCGTGTGTGTGTGTGTGTGTGTGTGTGTGTGTGTGTGTGTGTCTCCATGGAAGGGGGCGGACCTTACATTCACACCTTTTCCTGGAATCTCTGACCTCCTTCCCACCTATCAGAATCCCATTTTGTTCAGCAAGGCCTCCAAGATGGGGGCAGGTCCCCCATCTTCTCTGGGACCCCATCTCCTCCCTGGTGCCACTCCCTCCTTGGGCATGTTGGCAGACCGCCTGCTGCCCTGGCTTGGGCGCTCATCTGTGGCCCAGTTCCGTGAAACTCATCTTGGGTGGGTCCTGCGCAGGGACTGGGGAGTGGGGGGAGGGGGGAGGGATGATAAAGTTGCCGGCCCACCTGTGATCTTCATCCTGTACGCCCCCACCCCCCTCCCCAGAGGTGAACGACGGGCTGTGCCACCTGCTCATGGTGGCCTGCACCACCCAGAAGCCGCAGACGCTGGGCTTGGCCAAGGACGCCTGGGAGATCAACCGCGGCTCCATCGCGCTGGACCGCCGGCTGGGTACCGGCTGCTTCGGGG